TTTATGTGGTTAGCTTCTAATAGTCTCATAAACTACTGTAAGGGGTGCAGTAGTAGTAGGGATCCTCCATAGAGTGGTACAGGTCTTAATCTTGGATTATTTTTAATCATCAAGTTGTCCCAGTCTACTCTATAAGGACTCCACAGTGTTGTACAATTAAAGGATAACTAAACCCAACAACAAAACGTTTACAGTCCCTTTATGTGGTGGATGCATGTGTTTTCTTTTCTACAAGCTAAGAACCTTTCCAGCAAACACAGAAAATACATGTTGATCCTGCAAGAAATGCTGTGTCCTTGTCACTTCCTTTGAGCTGCACCAAATAATATCTTTCTTCCTAGTTATCTTCTGTCAACTACAAATTGCCCTTCTTCCTATGTAATGAAAATGAAGAGATACGGATACGTATTAGTTCATATCAGGAGAGCACCCTAGAGTGACTACCATGACACTGTCCATAGATAGACTATGGAGTGACGTAGCCACCCAAGGACAAGAAGCGCATTATCTGTAGGATTACCCAAGATAAAATATTGTGAAAGAAGATTGAAAAAAAAAAATAATAATGCGGCCAAAACACCAGCAACTAGTAAACTGCAATATATTCCACTTTAATTATATTTACTTGTATTGTGGAAAGTGATGGGGTTACAATGACTCCATTTTGTTTGTTCTTTGAATACATTACTGCTGTCATGCATAATTCCATAAACATTTTCCTGCATGTCCTTTCCAGTTCCTTTATCTTCCAGGCAGCCACTTACTTGGCAGTTGTTAGGCAAGCAAGAGGGACATGGAGAAGATAAAAGAGTACATTAGGGCGTTCATTTTTGTATTAAAGTGTCCTGTGTTAATGAGGTCTCTGGAGGAATAATGTGGAACTGTGTAATGATGTTTCTGGAGCTGCTCATTGTGATGATCGCTGGAGATGTGACACTCTGTTATACATAATAGGAGAAGCAGAGGCTTCATAAATCCATAAAAGTAAATGAAAGGAGATCTACCTATGGTAACCAGTTAGCGTCTTCTGGTTACTGGGCCAGAATGAATAAAAACTGGAAAAGCTAAATGGTCAAATGTAAAGGTGTTGCTTCCAGCAATCATTCAAAAAAAAAAGAAAAAAAAAGTGGAACTGTCTTAGTTACTATGGGCAGTACGGACACTTTTCTTCCTTACATGTTTACTATATAAATCAGATAGTCTAGTTTATAGCAATAGATAATAAAACTGGAAGACTGGAAGACTTGCCATAGCAGAAACAGGATTCTCTTCTTCATTTGAAAGAATAAAGTAGAATTAAAGGCATTTTTTTCATACATTTTGGATAGAGTAAAGGAAGGGATATAACCCCTGTCAGTTTTTGTTTTGCCATCCGTGTCCCATTGTGGAGATTTCCCATCACTTCCTGTTCCATAGCAAAAACAGGAAGTTGAGGGAATCCCTGGTTGTCACCTGAATTATAAGATTTCCCCTCTATTCTCGTTATGGTGACAACCTGAAATTTTGAGTTTTCTTTCACCTTCAGTGATAATTATTAATAGGACAAATATAGACAGCCAGTCTCCATAACTGGCAAACAGACATCAGTAAAAACCTGATAGGTGTTCAGGTCTCTCTCCATTCTATCCAAAAATTAAAAAAAAAAGTTTGCCTTTCGGTACACTTTAAGTTTGAGAACGTTGACTGTAGATGGTATAGGAGAGGAGGAGGAGGTGAAAGGGTTAAAAACAATCCCCCAAATCAACTGCCTCTTACCCTGAATCAGCTGCAGCTACTAATGTGTAACTAATGAAAGATTTGCTCATTCATTAGTTTCTCCTTTCTCTCTTTCCTCCATAGTAAGAGGAAGGGGCAGACTTCCAGATGCAAACTCTAGACCAGGGATGTCAAACTGGCAGCCCTCCATAATGCCTCTGCCTTTGGGAGTCATACTTGTAACTGTCAATCTTGCAATGCCTCAGGGGACTTGTAGTTTGGTAACAGCTGGAGGGCTGCCAATTTGACACCTGTGCTCTAGATTGTTTACATCTGTGATCACTGTGATAGATCATAACAGTGATTACATGGTACAGAGTCGCTCAGATCGGCTCTGTACACTGTGTCTGTGATGTGAGCTGTCCAATGATGGCTCAGTCCACAAGCATTTACTGGAGCTTAACTAAGCTTAAACCTATCCCCACCCTTATTATAAGACCTATGCTAACTACTGTGTGGAGTAAAGATGTGTATACTTAGCTGATCTAAGGGCGCTCCGTTCTGATCACATGATCTCCCCAGCGGCTGACTTCAGAGGAGAGGAGAGAGGAGCAACAATGGCTGCAAAGCCTGGGTGATGTTACCAGGGGCGGACTGACAATTTGGAAACTCGGGCACTGCCCGAGGACCCAGGGTCAGTTGGGGGCCCCATGAGATGCCCCTGGTACCTTTTTCATAGGTTTTTTGAGTTTGGGCAAGGACACAGGGGCCCCATGATCCCCTATTGCCCGGGGGCCCCATGAGTTGTCAGTCCGCCCCTGGACGTCACCCATAGACTTACTATTGGGCGTCGGTTTTCCACTGCCCCTCTCCCCTGAAGCCGATGCTGGGTTCCAATCACATGACCAGACAGGAGTACCATTACATTAGGTAAGTATACACATCGTTCCTTTACAGGGGAGCTAGCATAGGATTTAGAATGGGGATGGGAGTAGGTTTAAGCTTAATTAGCTTTTGACTGAAATTCTTCTGTAATTATGCTTTGATGTCTGGGGCTGTCAGTGAATCTTCTCCCATCCTATGGAACTCCCTACCCCAATCTGTCTGGCTGTCTCCTAATCTATCCACCTTTAGACGATCCCTGAAAACCTCTCTCTTTAAAGAAGCCTATCCTGCTTCTACCTAGTAAACTCCCATTTATTTCCTCCATCAGCTCACCCCCCCCCCCCCCCCCACAGCTATTACCTTTTGTATCACTCAACCCTTCATCCTAGACTGTAAGTTCTCAGGATCAGGGCCCTCTGTTTCCTCTTGTACCAAATTGTATTGTAACTGTAATGTCTACCTTCATTTTGTAAAGCGCTGCGCAAACTGTCGGTACTATATAAATCCTGAATAATAATAATAATCACAAGTTATTGATCAGCAACAAGTATACTACTATTCACCAAATGCATGTTGAGTTTTATTTGATCTTAATATTTATACCCATGGGAGCAGGGACGTATCATGAAATCAGTGGGCCCATGTGCAAGATCAAAAGTGGGCCCCAGGCAGTGATAAAGAAAAAATGCGGAAGGAAGGAATGGGGCTTGCAGTGGTGGGAGCAGCAGGGAGGCGGACTGACAATTTGGAAACTCGGGCACTGCCCGAGGGCCTGTGGTCAGTAGGGGGCCCCATGAGTTGCCCCTGGTGCCTTTTTCATAGGCTTTTTTGAGTTTGGGCAAGGACTCAGGGGCCCCATGATCCCCTATTGCCCGGGGGCCCCATGTGTTATCAGTCCGCCCCTGGGGAGCAGTGACAAGCACCGACCTCCCTGTATGGCTTTCAATGAAGCAACTGGAAGCCACAGGAGGGAGAAGAGGAGATACGGCTTCCAGCTGCTTCATTGAACGCCATACAGGAGACCGCTGCTTGTCACTGCCCCCACCGCTGCACCGATCATCCTAGACTTTGTTCCTGATACATCTCATCCGTGGGTACAGGGTGTTCACAGCACAGTGGGCCCCCCACCTCCCCTCATGGTCCATGTGCTGTGAACACCCTGCACCTATGGATGATACCCCACTGCATGGGAGCACAAGTGAGGATACCAACCAACCAAACTACAGCATAACTGAAGCAGTGAAGCTGAATCTGTCCAGCTTCTTTGCAAGTTAGTCGCATAACCATCCTATCACTAATACGCTATGATGGAGTCACAATATTGTTTCCCACAATTTATTAAGCTGTTTGTCCTGTGCATCTTTTTCTTTACTTAACTACAATAGTATGGTAATAAATATTTAGCTTACATGGGCATAGAGAAGCTGAATACCTTTCACGGAAACAAATTGCATTGAAAAAGATTTTCTCTTTTTTATTACAGTAAATAACAGTTTAATAGATTCTAACATTGTTAAAAGAAGGAAAACCGATTCAACAATTCATAATACAAACAGTGCATTTGTCATGACAGTATTGTAGTGGACTTAAACAGCCTTACAATGCAACAATAAGCATTCAGCCTTACTGTAATCTGGAGGGGAAGATGATACCCGAACCATGCGGCACAAACCGCAAGGGGAAAATGTTTCACCAGCACTGATACTTTGTTTCTATTACAGCACAGTCTCACTTTCATAGCACTGTATAATATATCTATTAATAATATAATTATTATACAATATCTGCTAAAACATATCTATTAAAAAAAATAAATAACCAGACTAGCTTATTGTTGCTAGGCAACTGTGATGTCATCCACTTAAAGTGTTACTAAGCCCAAAACAGTAAAATCAGTCTGTATATACAGTAAAGCATGCTTGTTATACTCACTGTGGAACCTAAGGGGTTTATCCTATGCATTGTGTAAAAAGGCTGTTTGATCCTGTCTTCTCTGCTCCTCCTCTTGTTCAAATGTCCACGTCTTATCTTCCGATAACCGTAGCCATTCTGCACATTCTAAGTTTAGTGTGTATTGCTAGTTTTTTTATTGCTTGGGAGAGTGCATGTGATCAGCATAGGTCCAATCAGCACACACCAGACATAGGTCAGGGGTTTTGCATCCTCCTAGAGCAGAATGAAAACTCTTCCTACAAGCTTTAACCAGTGCTCTACTGAACACTGATAGAAGTCACAAGACTGCTATATACTGCTGATGAGAAAAGGTATTTAGCAGTTTATATTTACTAAAATAACTGCTTTTCCATGTTGTGTGTACTGAGGGAGACCAGATATAGTGAATGCAGGGTCCGAGGAGATCGGATATAATGAATGCAGGGTCCGGGGAGACCGAATATAGTGAATGCAGGGTTCGGGGAGACCGGATATAATGAATGCAGGGTCCGGGGAGACCGGATATAGTGAATGCAGGGTCCTGGGACACCGGATATAGTGAATGCAGGGTCCGGGGAGACCGGATATAGTGAATGCAGGGTCCGGGGAGACCGGATATAGTGAATGCAGTGTCCTGGGACACCGGATATAGTGAATGCAGGGTCCGGGGAGAGACCAGATATAGTGAATGCAAGGTCCATGGAGACCGGATATAGTGAATGCAGGGTCTAGGGAGATTGGATATAGTGAATGCAAGGTTTGGGGAGACCAGATATAGTGAATGCAGGGTCTGGGGAGACCAGATATAGTAAATGCAGGGTCAGGGGAGACCAGATATAGTGAATGCAGGGTCCAGGGAGACCAGATTGTTAGAAATGGACTTGCCAGTAATGGTGGGACTCACCTGCCTTGTGGGCTGCAGTACCAGGGCTGGCCAGCGGGTGCTCCCAGCAATCAGAGACTCAACCCTGCAGCCAGCCAAACACCTGAAACTGCTTATGCAGGTGTATTTAAGTGATGGCCAGACCTGCAGTCTTTGCCTTGGTGTGTGTTTTTCCAGGGCCCTGTATCTTGTTCCTGCATCCCTGTTCCTGTTCCTGTTCCTGTCTCTGTCTCTGTCTGATTCGTTGCTGACCCTGCCTGATCCGGACCTCTGCTGACTTCTCCTGCTTTATCCCTGGCTTGTGACCCCGACCATTCTCTGCCTGACCCCCCTGTACCTACCTGCCCGATTGTTATTGACCCGGCCTGCCTGACGACGCTTGCATTGTATGTATTATCTGTGGGTGGTTTGGTTCGTTTGCACTGTGTTATGTTTTAGTATTGCACTGCGTTTATGTTTGTATTGTTAGTCGTTAATAAATTATATTGTTTATAACTTATATGAAGCCTGCGTTTCCCTGCGTCAGTCACATACCTCTGGTCATACCCTGGAGCCCTGACACCTCTGGTCATACCCTGGAGCCCTGACACAGATATAGTGAATGCAGGGTCCGGGGAGAGCGGATATAGTGAATGCAGGGTCCGGGGAGAGCGGATATAGTGAATGCAGGGTCTGGGGAGACCAGATATAGTGAATGTAGGGTCCAGGGAGACCAGATATAGTGAATGCAGGGTCCGGGAAGACCAGATATAGTGAATGCAGGGTCCGGGGGAGACCAGATATAGTGAATGCAGGGTCTGGGGAGAGCTGATATAGTGAATGCAGGGTCCGAGGAGACCAGATATAGTGAATTCAGGGTTTAGTAACACTTTAAGGATATTGGTAAAACACACCACCAGTTCACTGGTTTTCTTTCCTTGGACCACTTTTGGTCGGTCCTGACCCCTGCAAACCAAGAACATCCCACAAGAGCTGTAGTTTTGGAATAGTTCTAACCAGGTTGTCTAGCCATTACAATTGGTTGCTCAAATCTTTACCCTTGCCCATTTTTCTGCTTTCTACACATCAACTTCAGGAACAACATGTTCAAATGCTAATATATCCCACCCACTTTCAGATGCCATTGTAATGAGATAATCCATGTTATTCACTTTACCTGTCAGTTGTCATAATCTTATGGATCAAAGTCCAAGTTTTTGCTACCAAATATATGCGTATGGTCAGCCTTAAAGAGCACTAAATCAAATAAATCCAAGGCAGGGGCGGACTGACCATTTGGAAACTCGGGCAGTGCCTGAGGGCCCAGGGTCAGTAGGGGGCCCCATGAGATGTGCCCTGGTACCTTTTTCATAGGCTTTTTTGAGTTTGGGCAAGGACACAGGGGCCCCATGATCCCCTATTGCCCAGGGGCCCCATGAGTTGTCAGTCTGCCCCTGATCCAAGGAATCTGAATTGTCTTATTATCAGATTATTGGTAATGGTAACACGATGCACATATATTCACCCACTATATGCACAGATACACGTTTGGAAATTACATTTTAATGCCACATATATTCTTATATTTTCCAGGGGTATCTCATGTATTCCGGGGATTTGCAAGTAATACAGTCATCTTGGAGAAATAAAAGCAGGAAAGGTACCTATAAGAGGTGGCATTAGGTAATGTTTACAAAGCAGCTAAACATTTCCTCTTAATGTAGCATTTATAAGATGAGCTTAAGGTTTGGTCAGAAACACACATTCAACAAGAGTCGAATCTCATGTATAATAGTGGCATTACTTCCGCTATTATACTTGACAGCTTCCCTCTGTCAATGGCTGCCGGGAGAAGGCACTGTCAAGTTTTTAACAACCAGTGACATCACGGGCTCCATTCACTTACATGACCATGTAAGCCAAGGATCTAGGAATAGTTAAAAAAACTACAAAAATGGGGGTTCCCCCATAATTCATACCAGGCCCTGCTCGTCTGGTAGGAATTTTAGATGGGATGCCACACAAGAAAAAAATGATTCTAAACAACTATTCTAAGACAACATTGACCCATATCAACCAAAAATCCTGCAAGGCAGTTATATAACCCCCACAGATTGTAGCTACTTATAACATTGGGTGTCATTAGTTGATAAATGCTTTTTGAAAAAAATTTTATTTAAACTATTTGCTTAATTTCCATTAATTAATTTGCCAATAAACTCAGCTCCCGAACAAACCCTCTTCCAGCTTGCTAATCGCTAGATTAGCTTTTAAGACCAAACTCTGAGCCTGCCAAAGACCATAATATATTAAGTAAAATCTCTTCCTCTACCCCTTGGATTTAACAAGCAATTACCTTAAAGCGGAGTTCCAGTCACACTGTAAAATAATAAATGTCAACAGCTACAAAAACTGTAGCTGCTGACTTTTAAAAAACAGCCACTGACCTATCCTGCGGTGTCCTTCACACAACCCGTCCTGAGTTCCCGGAGCTGGCATCTTCAGTGAGGGCACCCGGCTGTGACAGCTTGCACTGCGCTTTCTCAACGGTCCCGTAGTCTTCTGGAACCTGTCATGTGTCCAGAAGACAACAGGGATGGAGGGGGGAGGACAACTAGGTGATCACAGCGGAAGTAGGAGGAGGGTATGGGTTCCTGTCAATTTTGGGTACCCGCTCCCCAAAGGTGCCAATCCTTAATGGGGAGCAGGGGACCAGTCTTTAAAGTGGAACGTCCCCTTTTGGATGGAGCTCCACTTTAACTAGAAGTTTTGGTTTTTTTTGCTATATCCCTGAGATAGAATTTAAATAACTAAACTAAAGATATGATTTCTTTCTCAAAAAACATGGTCATGTGACAGGTCCGAATTCTTCCTTCTAGATTTCAGCAAGGGTCCTGCTTTCTGGTCACATGGATGTTTCTCAATGGCTGGAAGAAGAGTCCATCAGAGGGGGTCCTCAGGTGTTCCTGAAGACTGCAAGCAATGGCATCATGACAACACAATGAAAGACAAGGTGCTCAGTGAGCCTTGTTTAACCCCTTTGTGCCTAAGGGTAAAACAAACCTTAAAGCCTAAGCCTACTTTTGCAACTTTGACATCTGTTAGCAAAACCATACATATCATCACAACTACTTTGTGCATCCAGGTGGATTATACCTTGCTTTTTTTCAGGACAAATTGGGCTTTCATTTGGTGGTAAATGGTAATGGTTATCTCTTCTTTTTTATTTATTATCAAAGGAAAACTGTCCAAAAATAGTAAAAAAAAAAAAACAAATTTGTTTAAATGTAGCTGTATATTTCTTGCTATTACCATAACCTACCACCAAAGAACAACCCAAAATAATTTCTCCTGCTCCTGAGGATCGCAGCAATACCACATGTGTGTATTTCAGTTGTTGTTCGTACCTGTAGTACGGTCCAGAAATAATAGTGCGCAATTTGCTTTTTTTTTTTTTTTTTATCTTGCCACCAACTGACACTGATACTAATTTAAAAATTAAAAAAAAACCCTGACACACAAAAAAACTGACCCTGATCTTGACCTTTGACCCTGACCTTGACCCAAACCCTAACCCTGGCACAGAACTAAATCAAACCTTGATCTAGGTATTTTTGTTTATTTTTTTAATTATTATTTTTATTTACTTGTTTATTTTTTACACACACTTTTTTTTTTTTTCTCTCTGAATGAACAGAAAGAGATACTTTGTATCTCTCTCCTACATTCAGAGAGAGAAAACAAGGGGGGGTTGCACAGTGATACCAATCAAAGGCTATCACAGTGATCAGGAGACCCGGAATTGGGAGTTCTGGGTCCCGATCGTTAAAATGGGACCTGTGCTCTCAGTGACTCCCCGGTCTTTGTGCTGGGAGTGCGCCATGTGGTGTGCTCAAAGCAGAAATACAGGTACGCAAAAACCCCAGTTCTGTGAGGCCGCTAATTTGCGTGCGATCGGCGTCAAGGGGTTAATATATTTATGCATATTGAAGTGGTTCTAAAGTCAAAAGGTTTTTACCTTAATGCATTCCCTTCATTAAGAGGAAAAAGCTTTCACAAGCTGTTCTTTCTTCCCTCCCTAAATACTTACCTATCACCTCTTTTGATCCAGCCCTGTGCCCCTCAACAGCGGTGCTCCTCTCTCTCCCTTTTCTCACAAGGTCTCAGGGATCATTGGCTCCTGTTGCTGTCAGTCAAATCATGTGATGAGGAAGTGAGGGGTGGGGCCAAACTACTCTGTGTGTGTGTCTATGGACACGGACAGGCCGGCTCGGGAGCAAGCTCACATGTGTGCCCCCACAGCACACAGATTGTTATGGGGGCACCCACAGAGAGAGAGGAGCAGAGAGCACCAGATCCCAGAAGAGGAGGTAAGGGACAGCTTTATGCAATACCACTGCACAGAGGAGATAAGTATAACATATTCATTTTTTTATTTTAGAGAAAAAAAACAGTAGGCTTTAATATCACTTTAATTTGATTGCCTCTAAGTCATCTTGTTTTTCCAAACCCAATGTCTCTTCCTATTTGCAATAAACAAGACCTCTGATGCACTTTATTAATGTTGATGTCTACTTTGTATCCTCTCCAAATCCTTTCACAGTGCAGTGCCCAAAACTGTACCCCATAGCTAAGCCTTTATATCTAGTGTGCCAAGCCTTTATATATTTTGTAATCTTTTTCTCTAGCAAAAAATGAATAAATAAAAAGTTCCTAGGGTATTTGCCAGCCAATGGTGTATTGTTTAGAAGATCACAATACATGTCTTCCTGTTTACTTAGGATATCTTTAGTTATTGTTAGTGAAAATGAAGAAAAATGAATGGAAAGATTAGCTGTACACTCACCTTGATGTATAATAGCTTAGGAACTAAGCTGATTATTTTTCATGTCTGTTTTTGTTTTTTTTTTTTCGTTTTTTATGAGCTGGTGACGTAAAAGAGGCTGAGGTTCTGGATATATAGAATTCGGTACACACTGTTTTCACTCTTTTTTTCCAAGGACTTTCATAGAAAAGGTTATATTGTGCTGCAGTGCAGTCAGAAATCTGGGAAATGTACTGAATGAAATATGAATATTCATTTATATATTTTCCCATTTATAGTCTATAAAACAGTTTTTGTTTTCTTTTAAATTGATGATAAGTTTCATCTAATCTGTCCATGAGCAGTTTTTACTAGCAAAAGCCGCATATGTTGGTTGTGCATTCTCCTTTAGAGTTGGCCATAGGCTGGCCATATGGCTAACTATAAACAATCAATCAAATCTAGATCTATCATTTCCAACAATGTTTTGCTCAAAAATGATCACTTGACACAGTACAAATTGGTTTGGTCAAATTCAGCTGGATTCCTCAACAGGAACAATTACTCATTTTCTAAGAGGACAATCCTTTGTTGATGAAACTTCCTACTTAGTGTAATCAGTTTTCAAGCAATTGTAAAAGCAGGGTGTAGCGCTAAATGAATTGTGAGGAAGACAAAGTGGGCCCCCGCGGCATGATGTCACAACTCTGTGGCTCCCTAACGCGTTTCGTGCACTCGCACGTATTCATAGAGGAAGCATACCCTCTATGAATACATGCGAATGCACGAAACGCATCAGGGAGGAGCTACAGATTTGTACCGCCATGCAGCCGGCGCCAAATGGGCCCCGGCGGCCATCTTGAATATCATCAGATGGCCAGTGTCTTTGTCTTCCTCACAATTTTTTATGCTGCACCTTTTTGAATAAACATCACCTGTTTAAAAGGTATTACACTATCTGGCCTCCTCTTTTGGAGCTCCTTGTGAGCTACTAATACCGACAGAGCGGCTGTATCATGTGTGGCAGTGCATACCAGGCAGTGAGGGGCACCTG